TTTAATTAGCACTGTAAAACCTACCTTCCTCAGAACTTAGAAATGGAGAGAAAAGCTGTCCTCCTCTTGTCTCCAGTCTGCTGGGACTCAGTCTGACCAGGAGGTATTTGCACAGATGTGTCAAGCCATTTACCAATATCTTGTTGGTTTGAGAGTCCATTACTGTATGTTTTTAATACTCTGCATGTTCGTTATTTCCATTTCTCATTTTTTCAACTGTACTTTTTGTTTTGTATGATGTGTTTTATTTTTCTTTTCTTTCATAACAGAGAACAGTTTTCAGGCAATTGTTCAGCTTTTATGCTGACCAGGGATTCCCACTTCTTACTATTCCCTGCTTCAGATAATTTTCTGCTGTTGGAACAGTCAATAGGTTTGTTTAAATGTTTGTTGAAATGCTGTATCTTTCCTTATTTCCTAAAATAATGTTTCCTTTGTTTCCTTTGAGTTCTCTCCAACCACGTTTTCTGCTTTTACCAGTTTTCTGTAAGCGTCGTGTTGTATTTTGTACAGTGGAAACGTAACAGCGTTATTCAGGTTTCTTTTCCTGGTGAAAAACTGTGCAAATGAGGCTACTGTGCAACAGGAGCACCAGGGGCCCTGCAGAGCAAGTGGTGTGTGGTGCATCCTGGGCTGCTATACTGGTACACTGTCATCTTTTTCTTCCCCCGCTTGAATTTCTTTTATCAAATGAATCTGTTAAACACAAAAATAATGATGTATTTGTTGCTCTTTCGTGCTCAACTGTAAACAAAACATGTCCACAAGGCCTGAAGCCATCCATTGTTCAAGAGTGATTGTTTCAGGTAAAATGAAGGATGAGTGGCTGGGGTTTTCCTCAGGTCACTTGAGCAACTAGAGAATATTTCAATGGAACAGGCCTCAGCAGCTCATCTCTTGCTCGTTTCCTTCCCGTATTTTGTGGAATGAAGGTATTATTTTTCCTAAAGCAGAGTGAGTTGTGGTCATGGTTTGTGCAGGTATCCTATGTAATTTCTTCTGCTATTTAATTTTAGCTACAGTAGGCAGGTCAGTGTGTCTCAAAATTAATAAGTAATAATGTTGTTTTAGGGACAGGTAAGAAGCTCCCAAGAAGGAAACACGTTCCAAATACAATATTTTGTATCAGGAGAATAACAGATATGTTGTATCACATAGTATTTCAGTTTTAATGAGAGTGCTACTCAATTAAAAGTTGCTGGTGGGAAACTGCCCAGCTGTCAGCTAAATCTGGTGACAGTCTGAATTAGTTTGGGGGAGGATTTTTTAATCTGCCACAGATTTTACTCTGACTTAATAGTTGGAATGGAGATTTGAAATACATCTCTTGCAACTGAAGCATTGCTGGTTACTCTTCTGAATCTATAAGAATGAATAAAACATGACTCAAACCAAAATCAAATTGCTACCTCTTTTATATCTTGTTGGAGTACAGTCCTTGGACTGTGGCTTTGATAATATTGGCAATGCTTAGATACCACTGGGCATATGTAATGATATTACAGAGACAACTTAATCACTTGCTGAAGCACTGAGTGTATTTACTCACTTCAGTTCTCTTGGGCTATCTGCTTATCAACTTACTTTTATATCCTCTGATGTTTCTCCTTAGTAGAAATGCTAATGAGAAATTTTATCTAGAAATGCTGCTGTTTTCTGTTTCCTTGTTGGTTTTTTTTCTGTTGAAAAATTCTTTTTTTTTTTTTTTTCTTTTTTCATGTGAATTGGATTAGAATGACTTTGCTCTTTTTCTGCTGTCCTTTTAGGAAGGAGCTATTTTATTTATTTATTTATTTTCCTTCTTAGCTACGCTTGACTACTGCAGTTTGATGCTTCATATCCTTTTAGTAATGCCTCTTTTATGGATTCTGCCTTTCAGTTTTCTTGGTTAACTCTTCTAATGAGTTAGATCCAAGCTTTACTCACTGAGAGAAAAGGTCTTTTGCATTAAAAATAAGTACTGAATATTCCTCCTGTCCTATATACTCTGCCATATTTTATTTTTAGGACCATCTCAGGAATATTCTTCTGAAACCTTTTGAATTGCCATCTTGTCCACCTGTGAATGTAATCACTTTTCCCTTTATGTTTGCAGGATGTGGCTGGGAAACAGGCGAAGGAGGAGCGACTTTGTTAAAGCAGTAAATGTTTGCCCTTTATCAGTTGCACAGGTTATCTTGTTTATAAACATTTCTAAAGAAATCTGTGTGTTTTATAAGGGACTTGGAGGAATGTCAGAGAGAGTTCTTCAGTGGGAGGCAGTTTGCATGCTAATGCACTGCTCTCTTTGTTTGTGGTTTGTTCATTTAACTTCTTGTTTTATCGTTTGCCATCATCAGGAGGAAGAGTTACATGGGAGGTGGAATTCTGACATTGTGATCAGAAGTTGGCAGCTAATCCTAGCCTTTGTGGTATGGTCTACCCAAGAAACTCACAGCCATAACATTTGTTGCTAGCATGGTGCTATATAGAAACTATATCAGTTTTGAGAGATACAGTAAGTTTTCAGAGGAAGTGACATTTACATAAGATTTCTGCCATTTTTCAGTTCATACATATTAATTTAAACAGTGAAAAAGAAAGGAATTCCACACAGGTTTTTAAGAGATTAGGATAGGTAGCAGCAAGTGCCATAATTCTCCAATTTTGCATGCTACAGCCCCATTTTATGATGACAGCAGAGCAGTTGCAGCCTCTGCAGAGGTCGTGTATCTGCCCTCTGCCCCTGAACACAGTGATGTCTCTGTCAGCTCTTGCAGTTAATATTTGGGTCTGTAAATCTGTAGATTAATTCTGTGCAGGCTCCATCAGCAATCTGATGTGTGATTTTGAACAATTTATTATATCATTCTGTAGCTTTTTGTGCTTTCATCCATTGTCTATTTTGTCTATTCAGGTATGAATGGAGATATTCATGATATGCTAAATGTTGTCAGACTTGATCCAGAGGGGAGCAATCATTGTTGCCTTGCATCACACGCTTGTATCCCTGTGCTGTGCTGCTTAGACTCAGTGTTCTCACTCCAGTTCAGAGCTCACTCACTTCAGCAACTTGTCCTGGCTCACAGAAGGGAGGAGAGACATTTCTACAGTGTATCAAATTATTTGGCTTTTTGTTCAGTACTGGAGCTCTATGTGTATCCATATTTCAGAGTGATGAGAGCAGCCGCTGAAGCACATTGCTAGCAAGGGTGTGAGAAAAGAAATCATTGCATTCTGATGCAAAGGTTGTGCTTTACATCAGGAGATTTACTTGTGCTTATCTTCCAAAGCTTTAATACAAGGCCAGGCTCAGCCTTTTTCAAATCTGGAAAATGGGCTGACCTTTCAGAGACCTTTTATATGCATTCGGTTCCTGACGTGATTCATTTAGTACACCAGAAATCTGCTGAGTACAACACTTCTGAGATTCTCTTTGGACTTCAGATATGAGGATGTAAGATACTAAGAGCCTTGACAGAGCTGCCATCTCTTTTTAGTACTCTTGTAGAGAATGTTTTGTGTATGTTTGTGGTCTTCAGAAAGAAAACATAATTAAGTCAATGGTTCCACTGTATGTGAAGATGGGAATTGTGTGATTATTATTTTTTTATTCATATACTGAATCTCTGTTACTGTTTTAAACGTTGGAGTCTTGTTGATATGGCTACACCAAGATCTATGGACAAGAGACTGTAGTGTTTCTACTCCAATTTTTTTTTTCACCAGAAATTTGGATGAGAATATGAGCTGTGTTGCAATAGATAAGCACCTGTCTAATATTTTATTTGCTTTACCTCTGTCAATTGAGGCAGAAATGAAATTCCTGAAAGCCAAACTTATTGGTTGTGAGGTCCCGTAGGAATCTACGTCAGTATTTGTAAAGAAGAGTCATCTACAGCCTATCTTAGGCAAACTGTTTCCTGATAATTAAGGTCAGTAAATAAGTCTTTTTTTTTTTTCCCCTCTGAAATTCACAGCAGGGTAGTTGCAGCTAATGGGAGTTTTGGATGCTCAGCAACTTCCAGGGTTAATTTTTTTCTCTGTTGGTTTTACAGCTAACATTTCACAGACCTGTAGGACAAACTGAAGAATGTGTTTTGGGAGAGATGCCTAAGCTATCAGAGGACAGAATTGTTTTATAAGTTCCCAAACAATAGTGATATTTAAAATACATTCTTAAAGGACATTACACTTGCAGCTTATTAGACGTTGATGCTCTTTATTACTCACAATTACAGAAGGATAATTTGCCTGAGAAAAACTCATTGCCAACAGCATGCTAGACCTCCATTTCAACTCCTGAGGAAATAACTGTTGCTAGCAGTCCAACCTACTGTGTTTTCTATGCAATGCACTGCTTGTTCTGCTCCGTGTGACTTCAGGTAAAACTGTATTTCCAAAAAGCACCCCAGTCAGCTGTGAATGCATATGGATTCCCCAGTATCAATCAGAGAATAGGATTTCAAATATCCTGAGCCCAAAAACGTGCCTGGCACTTGTGGCTGGCTCTGCATCTAAATACCCCAGATTTTTGCAATCTCTTCTGGCTCCACTGAAGGATCACAGATGCTGTTTGGGGAAAATACCCTGATATGGGCTGTGAAGATCTGTCTATAATCAGTGTGTCCCATATCTTGTAACCAGTTATTTTGCTTAGCTTTATTTTGAAGACAAGAAGAGGAACAAATAAATGAGAGAGCAGACCCAAGCACTGATGAACTTTGAACTTATTTGAATGTGAAGCTGATTAGCCACAATTGAGAGAGCACAAGACCCCAATCTGAACACTCTGAAATTCAACACATGAAGCTCCAGGATCTAAATCCTGTGTTTCACACGCATCTTCACCTGTATCCATCTTTACCTGTGAGAGAGAAAAAAGCGGCTTCAAATCGTTTCCCTCCCAGAAGTGTGGGACTGCTTCTGCACTGTGTAACGCGCTGAGCTGAGAGGTGACGCAGTGTCCCAGCTGCTGGACCCCGGGTTTTCCCCAGGTGTCAGGTCACTCCTCCTCACAGGTGATTGTTTGCCATCATCATCTAAAAGAGCTGCATCTTCCATGACTAGATTTACAGGTACAACCACTTAAAAAAAAAAAAAGTATTCACGGCGAGGTAAATATGCAGGTTTATTGCAGCCAAGCCACTCCTTTCAGTGCTCATTCCTTCTTAGACATCTGCTCACCAATGTTAAAACCCCGAGCACCTTTGGCAAGGGGAGAGATCTGCCGCACCTGTAGCAGGGGAGCAATATTTAGGAAGGAAGTGCTGTCAGAGGAAAAGCAGCAGCTTCAGCTTGTGTCCCAAGACAAGTGAATCTTGATGACAGCAGTTTATCATTAACCTGAACACTGCAAGAGGCATATAAGGAGGGAAAGAAGAAGAAAGCCAGAGAATCATCCAGGATGGAATCCACCATAAGGATCAACAATGCTGCAGACATCTCTGTTATTGTCATCTATTTTGTGATAGTCCTGGCAGTGGGAATATGGGTATGTTGGGCTTTAATTTTCTATTTTTTCTCTTTTCTTTCCTTTTTTTCTTTCTTTCCTTTTTTCTTTCTTTCCTTTTTTTTTTTTTTTTTTTTTTTTTTTTTTGGTGCTTGATGAACAGGTCGTTTTGTAGGTCCTAGGAAAATGGCTCAGTAAATGAAAATGTATAATTATTAAAGACCGTGGTGCTTAATTGAGATTGTTAATAAGTGTATGGTGAGGAAAATATGGGTATTTACTGAAGAAGGGAAGATGAACTGGGGACAGAACTGTTTATATGGATTGAATAGTTAGTGGAGAAGGTGGAGTAATGGGGTTTGTGTGGGGAAGAATCCAACCGTGAGAGGTCAGGTCTGCAAAGCCCAAGCCAAGTCCGGTTGCTGGTAGAAAGCAGGCTAGAAGCTGTGAGAATTGGCTGTGTGAGGTGATGTGTAGGAAACAGCAAGAAGTGAGAGTTGTAGGGAAGCAGTGAAGGTGAGTCAGTGTGCAGGGAGGGCAATATGGGCAATATGGGCTAATGTCTGTGGTGTAAATTTGCTGCTGGACTGTGGGATGGGCTGAGTGCTGCAGGCTGCTCTCAGCAGAAAAGTGATGTGGGCCAAGACTGTAGCTGCCATTTGAATGCAGCATTATTGTGGCTTTTCTTTTTGCCAGAGGGACCTTGGCTATAGAGAGCAGTGCCTTTGTAACTGTGAGGAAGGGACAGTTTCAGAGGTGGAAACAGATGGCTTTGACTTTTTGCTTGTGATCTAAGCAGAACTGTACCTCCTGCCCCCAGGCAGCAACACAGAATATGCTGAGCACTGCAGGGGAAAACTCAGTGCCTAATCCTGAAACAAGGGACAGTGCTTTCACAGCTAATGGGGAAAGGCAGATACTGTCCTGCTGGTGCTGAACTGCTTGGAAGTAATGGGCCCTTATTATGTGTTACAAAGCTGTAAACCATAGAATGTGCCGAATTTCCAAGCTGCTATTCTGAGGCTTGCTCTTTCCTTGGGGCAAGTGCTCCTGGTCACCTGAACACCTGACAATTAGCCAGCTGAGTGGAGGCCTTGTCCTGCTATAATCCTGAGCTTGCCAGGAGCATCCCAGTGGTCCATTTCACAGAACAGAGAAATGTGCTGCAGGAAAAACCCATCCCTACCTAGCAGCCTGAAGAGCACAAAAAATGGGAGGTGAACACAGCATGATCACAGCCCGGTCTTTATCTTTTTGTCATGGTAGTAGATTGAAAAACATAGCAACAAATCTGAAGACCTCAGTGTACCTGAACACCTTGCTGTCTTGTGGGAAGAAACTGGATCTTTGCTGTGGAAGTCTTAACTATTGCTGTAATCAAAGGTCTTTGTCAGAAAAGGGCTGGTCAGATAATGTATTCTGAGTAACTCCTGGAACCCTTTGTCTCCAGCAACAATGTGTTCATTATTGGACAGACGCTTAATTCAGCTACTGTGTGCACTGAAATGGAAATTTATTTCATATTCCCTTTCTTCTGTGTCAGAATAAAATATTTGGCTAATTTTCTTCAAGTCTTCTTCCTGTATTTGCCTATTCAAAGTTCATCAGTGGAGACAATGGGAAGCCAGTATTTGATCAAGGTCGTTAATAAAAGGAGGAAGCTTCCTTCTAAAGGCTGTCCTTTGTTAAAAACAAACTGAGTGCAAGAAAAGGAAAATTTTAGCCTACTTTGTTTGAACTTCAGAGGAAAGTGTGTGCGCTGCTGAAACCACAGCAAGAAAATCAATTTTTGTAGATATCTGCTTGAGCTGGATAATACTGAAGAGAAAAGCTGCATAACTTCTGCCCTGTGAACATACAAAACTCAGTCTTTTTTAGTGCTTAAAATCGAAGAGGTTACTCCCCTAATGAAGTGTTCTTCTGAGTTTGAATTTGTACTGAATTTGTAGTAGGGTGATCAATTGTTTTGTTGCATTCAGTGTTACTTTAATGTTCTGGTTTTATTGTAATGAGATGAAGCCATGAAGCTTGAATGGTTAATATAGACCTAGACACAAGAATCATTGTTTGTAGAATCATGTAATCATTTGAGGTGGAAGGGAGCTTTACAGGTCATCTAGTCCAATTCCTCTGTAATGAACGGGGTCATCTACAGCTGAGTGTTGCTGTTTTCTTTGTCATAAGTTCTTTCTTATGACACTTCTTTTTTCCACTTTGCCCTCCTGTTTTAGCAGTTTGTTTTTAGTCAGTATATGACTTGCCTATGATGATTAAAACACAATTTAATCACTCTTCTTTTCTCTCTTTTTTTCCTCTAGGCCATGTACTCAACCAACCGAGGGACAGTAGGTGGATTCTTTCTGGCCGGACGGAACATGGTTTGGTGGCCGGTCAGTGTTATGAACTCCATGTGTGTATAAAACATATTTATGCTTCTGTATGTGCATCCACTTCTGTATATTTCATCCTTAAATATAAAGTATACCTGCTATAGTGTTAAGACTGCAATGGCTATGCCAGGTAGACATACCTTATTTATCTTCAGACTCCCTCTGTACTCACTGTGGTACAATACTAACTGTACACCAAAAGCCGCCTCACAGACAGGATAAAGTGCTGGGGAAGCTGTGCTGAGCTCTGAGTTGTCTTGATGATGAGACATCAAGAACTTGAACTTAGATACTTTGATATCTGAGTAGATAAATCCAATGCTTTGCCTTTTGGTTCACTGCTTTGTTGTTTTTTTTTTTTTTTTAATGTTTTGAATTTAGTGTTTTCACTGCTCTCAAAGAAGTTGACTTATTTTGAGGTTATCATGGAGAAGAATTAATCTACTGATTCCTTGGTATTGCTCTAGTGTCTCCAACTTTGGTAACAATTTGTGGTCAATGCAAGGAGAAAATCCTGGAAAGATTATGATGAACTATTGTTAAAACAGTTTCAAATTTATTTAATGATTATCCGTGACTTATATTGCTTGTCTTTGGTGCTGTTTTCTCTTCAAAGAGGAAAGCAGTTACAGACATGAAGCAACGTTTCATGGCTATCCAGCAGGCCTCTGGCAGAAGTGCTGTTAGAAGCAATTGTCTGTTTCTTCTAGATGATACAGTATCTGTTCAGCAGGACTTCAGAAAAATCTTCATTGTACTGATATTGTACATGCTTTCATGTGCTTGAACAGAGACCATCAACATTCCTGATTTTGCCTTGTTTCAAAAAATGTCTTTGCACTCTGTAAGCTTTTTGATTCAAGATTCCACTCACATGGAATGTGGTTATGGGTTCCAGATGGATTTGGTTACAGGATCTGGGGGATAAAGGGAGTAAATATTTATTCTCTAAAGGTTTAGTAATTTTCTGGAAGTAGGTCACACAAATACCTACATTATGTTCAGTCTTCTTCACTTCAGGGAGCTCTTGTCTGGCTTTAGAAGGAATCAGAGCTGCCATTTTAATGATATAAAAAGATTAAGGGCTAATGACAGTGAAAGATGTGTTCATTTGGTTGAGTAGATCTGAGAAAATTCAAGTTCCACTGAAAGCCTGAGGAAAGAGAAAGTTTCCTTTATCTCCTTTCCATGTTACTATGAGATAAATTCTATAATTTTAGGGGGAAAAATTGACTTGCTTGACTGACAGTTTAATCTGGACTGGTTTTAACCCTGTGCAATTCTGTCTACTTGTCGACAGTGAATGTTAATATTCTTTGTGCAGACATAAATGAGAATGGAAGTGGTAAGGCAGAAAAGACTCACCATGACAACTTTGTGTGGCTATGGAGGCACAGAGAAGTCCTAATGATCCCCCGAAGACCCAGGGGCAGTCAACTAACACTGAATTCTCTAGCAACACAAAACCAACAGATTCAACTCCCTTACTTGAGCAGAAAGACAAAATAGATGACCCCACGTGCAGCATCTGCTGCCGGACCATCTCTCTTCCCTGCCCAAACTGCACAAGCAGGCATGGATGCAGTGCTGGTCATCAGTGCAGTCTTAAGATCCTCCATTCAGTCCTTCCTTTCTCCATTCTGTGGATCATTTTGTGGCCATGAAGGTTGATTGGTATTTTACAAAACTAAGTCTGTAACTTCTTTTTGACTGTTTAGTTGATTTCAGTTTCTGTGTTATTTCACTGAAATCACTGCCCTTGATGCTGTGGATGAGTCAACTCAGTAACTCCAATAGTTCATTAGCAATCAAGATATGTAGTTATGTTCTCACTGATTGCCAGAACTTTAAGTCTATCATGAGTTAATTGTATGAGTATGAAATGCTGTTCCCTTACAAAGTCTTTTCAGAGAAAAAGAGAGAAGAATCTTCAAGAAACTGATTTTGGCTCCTTATGCTTTGAAGGAAATCTCTTTAGGATAGACCTGTATGACTTTTTAAATATTCATAACCAGCTGTACTTTATCCCAGAGAGTCACAGAAGCTCAGAGAAATTACCAGCTTTTTAACCCTGGGCCTTGCAAACTGAACTTTTCAATTCTTCTGTTCAAATACTTTCTGCTCTTGTAAGAAATTCAGCATCTGTTACTAAAGAACAGTCAGCTTCAGTCATAGCCATTAACGAGCCTTCAGACACCATGAAAATCAACAACAACAACAAAACCTCAATTTTGAAGCTTTTCTGCTTTGAGTTCTGTTCTTCAGGTTCCATGGTTCCGCAGACAGCTGTCTGCACGAAATTGTGAGTTATCTTAGAAGCCTCAGCTCCTGAGGCATAAATGCTAATAGGGCAAAGCAGTATTTGGTGGGCATCTGATGTTCAGATATGGCTGGAAAGATTTACTGCATAGATAGTAAGTGGGGAGCATTTCAAAGTCAAAGACATAATGTACTTCAAACAAATGTCACTCGGTGTATTTGCTGTTATTAAAGCCTTGATCTTTGTGAGCAGGGTAAGAATTAAAGGGAAAAAATACACTTTTTTTCCTCAGTTCTGCATGCCCTCTTTTCAAAGCCCAACAGAACTGATCAGTGGCACAATTTCTGTTATCTCTGCATCCAGTTAAGTTTTACATACTCTCACAATTCTTCCAATTTGATGGATCTGACATTGCTGTGAGAAGCCAGTAGGGACAACCTGGTACATGTAAGATAGTACCTTCCTTCCACAGATGAAGTAAAACAGGAAATTTACTTATTTTGTCAATTTCCGTACCAAAAAAAAAAAAGGTGTGAAACCGAACTGTTTTTAGAGTAAAAATGATGATAAAATATTAAAAGCAAAGCTCTGGTAGAGCAGGGAAAGTGAAGAAGATTTTTGCAGAATCTGTCAGAATGTTTCAGCCAGCCTGGAGGTGCTGTCTGCATCTCAGAGGACAAAGGTGGAAGGTTTCAGATGAGTCTGTTTATGGCTGTGCTGCTCCCACAGCTGTCACACTCACTAAGAGACAGAGACACCTTACCTGACATATATTGTGTCTCCATATCTGTCTGTTTATCAGTGTTGTTTAATTTGGCAATAACACAATACTGAGAGCCTGAAGAATAATCAAGAGAACAGAATAAAACCCAACACTTCTTTCTTTAAGTTTTTTACTATGAGTGGTGAGGTGCTGGAACAGCTGCCCAGAGAGTCTGTGGATGCTCCGTCCCTGGAGGTGTTTGAGGCCAGGCTGGAGGGGCTCTGGGCAGCCTGGGCTGGTATAAAATGGGGAGATTGGTGGCCCTGCATGCGGCAGGGGTTGCAGATTTGTGATCCTTGAGGTTCCTTCCAACCTTGGCCATTCTGTGATTCTGTGTTTTCTTTGGGTCTCTGAGCCTTGGAAAAGTCACAGTAGTATTTTACTGTAAGCATCAAACTGATTTTTCCAAAGTGACTGAAAGTGATCTCATAAAACTCGAGTAGGGAAGCATCTTTCCTACAGGATACAGTCACAGCTGTGAGTTAAAAGAGAAGTATGGAAACTGTTGGAGAGTAGTTCTTAAGCATGGGAATAAGAAATTTGTCAGAGAAGAGGGATTTGAGAAGCATCTTCTGCAGGTGATTCAGAAAGGTGACCTCATGCTGCTGTGAAGGAGCTTCTCTGTTCTCTGTGGAGTGGCTAAGGGCAGGTATTCTCTTTGCCATAGGGAAGGCATGATCAAGGTTGAGGAAAAGTGTTTGATACTGAACTGGTGCTTTCAAACAGGAAAGCAGACATTAGGAATGGAGGATATGTGTGATCCTGAGAGGGAGAAAAGAAAGGCATAAACTGAGAAGTATGCACACTGCCATGGCAGTAGTCACTGATTTGCAAAGAGCACTGTATATAAGGTTTGGAACAGCAAGTGCCAGGATGTCAGTGCATCCTAAAGTTAATGAAAAGTGCCAAGTGAATCAGTTAATGAATAACACGGAAAAAACATAATGATCATCATCTGCCTGCAGGGTGATAGTACTTTTCCTGAACAGAGTGCTCTTGTTAAAACCTGACCCCTTAAAAGATCTGAAAGGAGTTAATGTTCCACATTCCAGGTTAGCTCAGTTTTTTGCCCTCTTTCCATCCTAACAGCTTTTGTTCCTTTCAGTCTACTTTCCTCTTCACTTTTCCTCCTCTATCTGTTGTAAAAATCAATTCACCAACACGTTGCTGAGAATGGCTAACGATTCCAGCTTCAGCCCATCCTCTGGTTTACAGCCATGCACATGGAGGAACTCAAATATAAAGATCTGCTCTCTTAGTAACACACTGCAGAGGAAAGTGGCCAGACACAAACACCCAGCCTGTTCCACCTCGGTGTTCCCTGTGCTCACTACAGCAAAGGCAAAAGGACCATCTAGTCCAGCTCCCTGGGCACAGGCATATTTGGCAGACATTCCTCTCTCTTTAGCCAGCTTTTAGCTGCAGTTCTCATTAATTTACGCTTCCCTGCTATGATGCCACGTTCCACCCTTGGTGATTGTGTTCACTGTTACGTACTGATTTTGTAGTTCTGCTGTACCAGGTGTTCTCTAATTCAGAAAACAACATGTAGAAATTGAAAGTGATACATGCACCGGCATTGCTTCGTCCTAAATGTGTTGGTAGATTTGCTTGGTTTCCCGTTTTTCTTAAAACAAAGCTGTACTCCGTGTGGAGTTTGAACACATTCCCAGTAATTGCTATGCTATGCCCTCTGTTTTTAGGCACTGAGACAAATCCCACTGTAGCTTTCTTTTCTGAGAGTTCTTCATTAGCTGCTTGTATTACTTAGATCTGCATGCAGCACGTTTCAAACTTCTGGAAGAGGAGAGGGAACACATTAAGTAAAATCAGGGATTAATGTGGTTAATCTTTTCTGGTGAGTGCAATTTCTGATAACCTAAATTAAAGTTTAATTCTCCATCTACAGGGAGAACACCAGACAGCAGTTACTAATGTCTAATATTAGTACAGTATCTGTTTCTTCACAATTATTTTTGAGCAAATACTGCTGTTGTGGTTAACAACAAAGTGGTTAAAAGAAGTTTTTTTTTATTACGAGTAATGTCTCTGACTTATTTGCTAATGCCTGTTACAAGACTTGTCATTCCTATGGGAATATATTTAATATGACAAACTGATTACATTTCTGTAGGACACAACTGAGTTCTAGAAAGCTGTAAAAAAAATAAAGAGTAGAACAAAGTGAACTTAGAGACAGAAATTCCTCTAGTCCTGCATAAGGACTAGAAGATAACAGGGAATCCAACAGCAGAAAGGAAGAAAAAAAGCTTGGGAAAGAAGCAGTATAAAGGTGAATGATTTGTTGCATGTAGCAAATGAAGGAGGAGAGTGAGTTCTGTTCTGGCTGTGGTGTGGCTCTAGAGAGTAAACCTGATCTTCACAGTGCATTTCTATGATGAAATCCCTTTTATCCTCCTGAATCTGAGGCAGTCATTCTTGTGCCCTCAGGAAGGTTGCTTTAATTTTTACTGCTACACAAAGGACTCACTGCAGTGATTGCAGACCTGGAGATTTGTGAATACATTCATATATATTTTAGGACCCTACAAATCAATCAGTGAATTGCAGGCAAGGAATATTTCTATCTCTTGTAACTCCAAACATATTGCAAGTGTACTTGGGATCTACATAAGAAGCATGTGCAGGTGCAGATCCTGTATTCGTGGTTGTAAAAGAATGTTTTCAAGGCTTTTAGGTCTTTCAGTTTAGAGGACTACCTCAGACCTTTCCTTTCTGAGTGGCTCCTGCCTTGTCAGCAATCCAGCCTCAACCTTTCTTGGTCTTGCTCTTTCTCTGATCAGCATTTCTTGTGTTTCTCCCCCTATTCTGTCTGCTGGATCATTGCAATGTCTGGAGGTCTTTGCAGCATTCCTTCAATCCAGCTCCTTTATTTGCTTTATTTAGCATCTTCCACAAGCGCTCTCAGCCATGTAGCTTGAAGAATTGAATCAAGTTAATTTAATATCTTTTGACTAAAAGTCAAACAACTGTGAAATCTGTACGACTCTGACTGATTGCACAATTAGTCCCACAGTCTGCAGAACTTCATTATGAAACAGGAGTGCAGGTTTGACACAAGCGCACTTATTGTTTCCTCCTTGAGCAAGGCAGATCTGTGTTCCTGTCTCATTGTTTGTGTATCACCCAAATTCAGTTGGTCAAGTTTTGCAAATATTTGAAAGCCTGTTTTGGGTCATAACCTGTGTGTCAGTTGGAAGAAGAGTTATGCAGTTTTGTATTCATGCTTCATGTTCTAGACATGAGGGCTAACGTTTCAGGTTTGATGGGGGATGGAGAAAAACAACGAGAGTCTTCAAAGTAGTCAAGGAAGTTGGTTGTCATTCGTTCTCATTGTCACCACCTGATGATAGACAGGCCTGAGTTCAAAATGTCAGGTGAACATGGTTTTTTCAAGTTGTCATGAACTGACCTTAAGAATCAAGTCCTGTTCTTTCTGTTTCCAGATCGGTGCTTCACTCTTTGCCAGTAACATTGGCAGTGGACATTTTGTGGGCATAGCAGGAACAGCAGCAGCTGGAGGAATTGCCATTGGAGGGTATGAATGGAATGTAAGTCACATGCATTTGGGTGAGCGTATCTGTGACACCAGAATTATCTGCACGGGTTAATCAAGATGCCATCGCTGAATAATTTTATGCTGTCAAAATTTACTTGGCAATACTTGTTTCTGTACAGGTCTACAAATGCTAGTGTTGTCTCCTAGTTATCTTCCTTGGTCCTTGCACAAGTGACTGGGAGATGATGGCCCTTTTATGTTCAATGAAGGTTTTTAGAAAATGTTTGACCCAAAGAAATCAGTGGATTCTCTTCTTCTTATTCTTATTCTATCGTTTGATTACATTTAATTATTGATAGGGAGCACTCTCAGACTGTAGGATGTCTGGAAGAGGTAGTTGGTTTTATAACCCACAATATTTTATTTTTTACTGCAGTTTGCTATTTATAAATTGTTGAAAAGGCTTTATTTTCTTCACAGGCCATAGGAAATTTGGGACATCCTTCACAGTCACCTGCATTCTAAAAAATCTTTTCCCTTTTAGTTTCTCCTTCTTCTGGCTGTACATGTTCTACATGGCAACCATAAGTGGAACAGAAATATCCAGGCTGACTTAAAATGAACTGCTTGGGGTACCAGCAGCAGTATTAACTGTGACAGCATGAAGATTCACATGAGCTGATTAAATGCATTTCCTCATTCTCAGATATTGTGGGTGTGGATAACAGTGATCTTATGATGCTTGATTCATGTGCATGGAAGGGATTATACCAAAACACAAAAGACTTAATGAGCATTACATAGGTTTCCTTGCATTTAATTCTGTGCAGTGAAAGAAACATACTTCAATGAGGAACTGTATTTTTTCTCCTTAACAAGTAAGTGGTTGCTGCAAAAATTCAGGTGGTTATATAAATATTAAAGGAGAACACTAAAGGCTAACAAGAATTGTGAGACAGTTTATCTGTCATCTTTCTCTATTTGTTTACAATGGTGCTGTAGGCAACCTTATTCTTCTTCTCTTTGCACAAAAACTAAGCAAAAGAAAACAGAACAAACATTACTTGAAATTTCACAGCATTCAAAGCTCAGGGACACGTACTCTCCTTCAAACATACTCATAGCTAACTCTTCGTCTCCTGGGAGGTTCTCCATGGGCTGATGTAAATATACAGAGTGCAACAATTGTTGTTTAGCAAGAAGCACTGATGCATGCATGTGTTTGGAGAGTTACATTACATAGTTCCTTAAATAATTATGACAGAAAGACTCTTGACTGTATAATTCAATTCTCCTCTTGAAAGAAATATTGATTATTATACTGCTTGTATCAGTATTATTCCATGAAATTACTTCTAAATTACATTAATCTGATAGCAGATGCTGAACCACTCTTTCTTGTCCATTTCTCATCTTTGATCTAAAGGCAAAACTCAAAAGATAATGTTACTGAAAACGAAAACAACCTCGTGAGTAGGCAGAAAAAATGTAGAATTTTGAGCAGAATTTTGTTCTTCATTTGTCTATCTAGTTATGTACTACTTCAGTTAGGGAGAATTTACTAGCCATTTCAGTTAGAAAACTGACACCAAAATACAGTAAGATCTATAGTTCACAAAATGCACATGGCCATTCAAAATACACTGAGCAACGATAATGTGGAAATACCAAATCCTGTACTAGATGCTTGTAGTACATATTGTACAGAGTGTGGGATCGCTGTAATACACTGTGCCTTGTAAAACACAGACATCTCACAGAAGCTCAGTGCAGAAAGAAGCTAAAGAGATATCAGAAGTGCTTCTTTACCCCATACCTACGATTGCTGGTGTCACGAGATACCATTGCAGCACAGCTGATTCTGAAAGGTAGTCTGATTGTACCTGGGATGAAGCAACTAGCAAATGGGTCTCAGTCATTAGACTTAATTAATCCTTCTTTAATATTTCCCAGAAATTGTGGACTTATGGGCTGATTGCATTTTAACAGCATGCTTTGAGGACAGCTGGAGTAAGCTAGCATTGCTGGTAGGGTGGCATTATGATACTGAAAGGCAAACATACGAGCAGAAATCAGCAGTTTTTCTCCAAAATGTGTTCTCATATGTGCTTCTTTTGGAAACTGAGCATGCAATTCAGTTTCCACGGTGCATAACAAATCTCTTAGCCAGGATTTCATTCCCAGATTTTCAAGTGTAAGACAAAGGATCGAGCAACACCCATCGCAGCCCCAAAGTGCCCAGGTTTGAGTGGTCTCAGTGGTCTCTATCTGCAGTTTGGTCTGATAAATGGTCTTAGTGCTGTCTAGAGAGAGGAGGCTAATTCAGCTGATCTTGTCTTGACTGCAGGCTCTGATATTTGTGGTTGTTCTAGGATGGCTGTTTGTACCCATCTACATCAAAGCTGGGGTAAGTAAAAACAGTGTTATGTTTTCCTGTGCTGTTTGTTTTAATCATCCTCTCTCTCCTTTTTTGTGGATCAGGTCTGGAGTATTGCAAAGCCATTATAAATGGCAAAGGAGATCTGATCACAGTAGAACCTGTCTAGATTATCCATATGTACATGAGTAATGATGATTCTCAAATTCTGAGACCTGAGATGTGTTTGGTACTCTGCTCTTGTTCTCCTTTGATTCCTGGAGCTGCTGTTCCATGCAACTGCATTTGTAGCTCCCTCCCTTTGCCTTCCACTCCTACAGTATCTGAGTAGCAAAAAGCTTCCTCTAACTCGCTTTGTATCCCTGCCCTGTTGTCTGAGACCTTCTCTTCCCACCCTGCAGGTGGTGACGATGCCAGAGTATCTGAGGAAGCGTTTTGGTGGGAAGCGGATTCAGGTCTACCTGTCAATCCTTTCACTGATCCTGTATATTTTCACAAAGATCTCAGTACGTACAACTTCTGCAACAATTTTTCCATCCAAAGTTGATCTAAATAATAGAAACTGCCATTTACATTATTATGCACACAACTGACTGTTGCTTCTGAAGTCCAGTTGAACTAAGGAGTAAAACGTGTGATACAATATTTACGTGTATTTTCTTCTGTGCAGTGAGATTATGTGTGCAGATCTGTTTTGCAGTCTGAGTTTTGCTGGCTTCCTTGAACATCTCTGGGAAGACCTTCTTGGTGTTTGTTGGGCTTTCTCTCTCTTTTTTTTCTGTTTTAATGTTTCTAAGGTTTACTTTTATAACAGGCAAGAATGGAAGGAACCTTATATTGTATTGCACTCTGTTTAGGGATCGATGAAACATGGGAGGAAATTTCCACAAACATGAGTTTGTACATTTTGATCTACGTGAGTCATCTGAGAAATAATAGCTGCTGCTTGTTTCACCATTAAGTTTTAGAATCTTTTTGCCATCAGTTTGGGCACACAGCATCGCATGCCAACCCTCTGTTCGTTCTGCTAGGAGAATGAGCAATACTTTTTGGAGAAGAGTGCTGTTGGGTTTTCAAGGAACAGGATTTTTCGTCCCTAGGCTTCATATTCATCCTTCACTCTGGTGAACATGCCATCAGCAATACAAACAGCTGAGGGAAAAGAGCAAAAGAACAGTGAAAAAATGAGAATGATAGAAGCTAGAAAACAAGAGAGTGGGAAAATGCAAAGGAAATGGTGACAGCTGAGGTGAAAGGAAGAGAGATTCTTTTAATGGGTAAATGGTTGCTATAAAGTTTAAATTGCTATAAAGTTAATGTTTATTAAGCATGTGGTTGTGCTGCTGTGAAATAGTGAAGGGAGCTGGTGTTTTCCATATGTCTTGAAACTACTAAGCCTTTGAAGAAGTCCACAGTTCAGGTATACCTCAATCTGTTGTTTTTCAGAAGTTGCCATGGCAGATTACTCTTTGCCCTCTGCATGGGAGCTAAGTGATAATAGTGCAATTTAAGCTAAAAGATTGGCCTTTTGCTCTCATTCTCACATCTTCACGATAACTGATCCTTGCAGAGGTTATAAATTAAACAGGTTGGTGCTATGTGACTGGCCCCAACGCTGGATTTCTGTATAGTTCAGAAGGATCAGTTAAATTTACTGTTGTTGCGCTTAACTACCACAATCAGAAATCCCAGGTATGTTGCACATGACACAGAGCTCTGGCAGTCCCAGCAGCTGAGAAACATTTCCAATCAGATGACTCAGTCCCATTCTGCAACACATTTGCAAGAAGCCCATTAAGCAGGTTCTGAATTTAGTCTTTTATTCCCAGCCTTATAATGCCTAAGAGTTTAGTCATGGGATTTCATCCTGTTTCACTAGAGGTGTCTTAATTCCAGGCAAGATGCATTCTCCATTTAAACTTCCCATGTGATCACGCGGCTGAAGCACCTTCTTGTGCACTTGTGGAGCAAAGCAATAGTGAAGAGATGCCTATAGCAGCAGATTACCAGCACCCCACTCTACCTCCCCAACTTCTAGTTATTCCAGATGTATGTGGAGAATTGCCATAGAATTGAGCAGAGGAAAATTTGGTGTAGAATTCTGTAACTATTCTGACACTGTCAATTCCATGTACAAATATGGCTCTGATTTCTGTAGCATCAAACGTTTTCTGCACTGTTGCATTGTGTGACTACATTCAGTAGAGCGGAATTTGCTGTATTTTATTTGCAAAAAGCAGTTTTTGGAGGTTTCAGGTACTGCCAGAGAAGTAATGGTAGGTTTTTCTGTCCCATGCTATGCAAAACCAGGCCCAAATTGTCTTCAAATGAACATCTCCAGGAGCACAAAGGGAAGGGCTGTTCCATCCTGGCCCATAGCTAGTTTATTTGTGCTGTGTAGAGACGTATGCGCTGTGCAGAGCTAGCACAGGTCTCTCTTCACAGAGGCACATTTCATCTCCAGACATACCCATGTGTTGTCAATCTGTGCCCTATCCAACCTGCAGATTTGCATTTTACTTCCTCGACTGCTGCTTTTCCAAACACTCCTTTGTTGTCACCTGGGCTTAGTGAGATTTGGTGTAGAAGGATCTTTCCGCCCTGCCCTTGACAGGCAGTCACACCTAACAGTTTAACTGCCACTTATCCTTCTAGAATAAGAGCAGCACATTTTCAGGGTAGTTATTTCACGTGTTGATTCCTTCATTTGATATCATACTATTGAATGTTCTTAGTAATATTATAATCAGGGTACGTTCCAATGAATAATAAAATACGTCAGGCCATGTGACTCCTGGCTTGCTCTCTCTGGCATGCTGCCCAATGCTGCGTGATGATTAGATTCTCTTTGCATGTATCTGTACAAGATTATTACTGTTTCTGTCTTTTCTTGGACATTTTCTTTCTATTTTTATTGTTCCCTTGTTTTGTGGCTATCAACTGCTTGTCAGGAAAGGCTATGCTGCAAGGATCTTTGGGATCACATGTGATCATTCAGCCCAATTGATTTTCAGCTGGCTGCACAAGCATCTCACATGTGTGTGCTTCCTAAGCATGCAGTACTGTGAGTCCAAAGCCCCTGGCAGCTGTCAAGGCCTTGCTTTATAACTGCATTGCTGATATTGGTCATTGTGCCAAAGAATAAGGTCTAGAGAAAATAAAATCAAGAGTAATTAACTCAATTATGATAAGACCAAAGCAAATTAAATTCTGAAGAAATCATAAATAGATTTATGAGAAATCAGGGCACAGGTTTACCAACATAAGGGGAGGAAGAAAGATAAACTCATCTTAGAACTTCACAGTGTAGAATAAATTATAGAGCACTGGAGTTCATTATGTTGGAGCTGGATCCTCTAGTGATATATAAAGGCTCCAAGTTAGCTATCTTGCATTCTGCCAATTGCTCCTGGAGGATCTGTGCATGGCTTTGGAGAAAGAGCTTGTAATGGGAAGATTTGTCAGAGATGAGATAAGGATTAAATAGTATCATTAAAAGGCTATTTGTGGAGAAATAAGGAAATATTGGAAGGAAATAATCTGATGGGAGGGAGGAGCAGTGAAGCTGGAAGGTAACAGCAATTCAAAGTTGCTGATAAATTGCTTAGGACACGAAATAATTAACTGTATGCTTCTTTGCTAGGGTCTTTTAGGACCATTAATATTTAATGCTATGTAAGCTGAAGTAAAGCCAAGAACAATAAAAGATTTACTTGGACATAAGCAGATCAGTGGTGTGACAAGGTGGGAAAAAATATTTCCATAGAGATAAGGGACAAAGGACACAACCTGGCAGCCATTGGGAGATACAATCTGAAAAGTCCTCATTCCTAATTTCAGCCTAAAACCTGTAAGAAATGTCATCATCTCAAGCTGCTTCAGGGCAGGGTTTGGGGAGTGGAACCCTTGCTGTGGCTCACACCCTGCTTCCTGCTTGTCTTTTGCACATCGGGGCACTGCGTGAGGATCTGCTGCTCTGGTCAGCACTGCCTCATTCTCCAGAGCAAAGCAGTCCTGGCTTCAGCTACCTGCAGTGCTTTGTAGCTCCTGAGCGTGTTTGAGCACTGGAGGACTTGTGCTGTGAAGGGAGGCTGACTCCCTTTATTGTGCCTTTGTATGGGAAGGGTGGGATACAGAAAGCAGGCGTGCAGGTGGGATTGGGTGTGAATCCTTCATCTGGATCCAGGAGATACAGACCTCTAAGGAAAGGAGGACTAATGGCAACTCATTAGAAATGCATTGGGGTAGATCAGTCTTACTGTAAACTTAGGTTGATGCAGAATATTTTTAATTAAGGAGATTATTTAATGTGTTTAAAATCTCAGTAAGAAATAGATTGTTATTCTGAATAGATATAGATAGATCACAGAATCACAGAATTGTAGGGGTTGGAAGGGACCTCCAGAGATCATCGAGTCCAACCCCCCTGCCAAAGCAGTTCCCTACACCAGGTCGCACAGGTCGGCATCCAGGCAGGTCTTGAACATCTCCAGAGAAGGAGACTCCACCACCTCCCTGGGCAGCCTGTTCCAGTGCTCCGTCACCCTCACTGTAAAGAAGTTCTTGCGTATGTTTGTGCGGAACTTCCTATGCTGCAGTTTCCGGCCGTTTCCCCTTGTCCTGTCTCCACTCACCACTGAAAACAGTCCGGCCTCGCCATTCTGCCCCCCACACCTTAGATATTTATAGACCTGGATCAGGTCCCCTCTCAGTCTCCTTTTCTCAAGGCTGAACAGACCCAGTTCACTCAGCCTTTCCTCATAGCAGAGATGCTCCAGGCCCTTCACCATCTTCGTGGCCCTCCGCTGGACTCTTTCCAAGAGATCCCCGTCTTTTTTGTACTGGGGAGCCCAGAACTGGACGCAGTACTCCAGATGAGGTCTTACCAGGGCAGAGTAGAGGGGGAGGATCACCTCCTTTGACCTGCTGGACACGCTCTTTTTAATGCACCCCAGTAAGCCATTGGCCTTTTTGGCCACAAGGGCACACTGCTGGCTCATGGCCAACCTGTCGTCCACCAGGACACCCAGGTCCCTTTCCGCAGAGCTCCCCTCCAGCAGGTCATCCCCCAACCTGTACTGGTGCATGGAATTATTCCTCCCCAGATGCAAGACTCTACACTTGCTTTTGTTAAACCTCATCCAGTTTTTATAGATAGTATATTTAGATATAGATAGATAGTAAGATAGTATATTTAGATATAGATAGATAGTAATATTTTTTACACATGAGCCAAAGGTCTCTTCTGTTAGCCAGCAACTTGTCAATTATTCTGACCTTAGGAACCTTAGATTTGTGATAAATTCTTTGCTTTTAATGCCCACATGTCCTGAACTGGTGAGACTAGCTGTAGCACATGTATGTAAGCAGTGAAGAAAAAGGGAGAGAGTTACAAGCATTAAAGGAGGAGCCCTGCCATATCTTGGAGACATCACAGGTCCCAGCCCTGGGCATCGCAGTGAGTTTTCAACTTTACTGAAGTCCCTCAGAATGGATGCACACAGTAGTGAGGAGGTGACTGCCTCTAGCTAAAATGAGCTGTTGCTAAATATTTGGGAGTTGTTTGAGAAATGCTACGCTGTTCTTATACTGAAAGAACCACAGTTCTGAGAGGAACAACTTCTATTTTCATTTTGCTGGGTTTTTTTTTTGTTGTTTGTTTGTTTGGTGCAGTACTGTAAGGGATTGTGTATTTCAGCATCCAGTCATGAACGTATGATGTGCCATCACATAGAACTTACCCCTTGCCTAATATGTATCATTTCCATCCCTTACAGGCAGACATATTCTCTGGAGCCGTGTTTATACAGTTGGCCATGGGTCTGAATCTGTATGTGGCTATTATTATCCTGCTTGTTATTACTGCTCTTTACACCATCACAGGTGAGTTTGCAGAGCAGCCTGATAAAGTAATTAAATTAGAGAAGCCAGGAAAAGGAAAACAGGGGAAGTGGATGAGAAAAATAAAAACTCGACAGGGGTGTGTTTTACAGTGATCTTTGTTGAAAGAGAGAGGTAGAAAAAATGAATAAAAGAAGAATAAAAAGAAGAAAGATTTTCATTGAGGCATTTGCAGAGGGGCTGACCTGTTTGTTCTGTCATTAGGTGGCCTCGCAGCTGTGATTTACACAGATACCTTGCAGACGTTTATCATGGTTGTGGGATCTTTCATTCTCATGGGATTTGGTAAGTAAATCACAGTGCTGACAGCAATTGATCCTGCAGTGCGGGGCCCTGTTGTCTTAACTAGGAAATTTCAGTTCTTATGCCTGTTATCAGGGAGTGATGTAGGCATGTTGCCTAGCAATCTGGTCATTGAGACAACTCCATTCCAAAGGACAGGTGAATCCATAAGGTACTGTGTAACATCCTATGAGAGAACAGGACTACTGGTGGGTAATGAGGTAGAGGTGGAGTTGCTGATTATGCTCTTCAGAAATTCAGAGAGTAACTTTTTTCCAGAAAATTATAATTTCATAGATTTTCAGATGCTAATGCTTGAAATTTCTGATTCAAAATGAAGAACTGTTGGCCACATTGCATGGTTTTTTTTTTTGGTTTTTTTTTTTTGCATATATATATATGTGTATATATATATATATACTCTCTAGGGTTTTGTTCATCACTGTTACGGTGTTTCTCCTTCACATTGTCTGACTGTACTTGAGATGTCAGTGTTACATCCTTTCTCACTTCTTTTGCTTTTTGTTTTTCAGCATTTAAAGAGGTTGGAGGGTACGATGCATTCATGGAGAAGTATATGAATGCAATTCCATCCAATATCACCTATGGAAATAGCACAATTGATTCAGAATGCTATACTCCTCGAGCGGATGCTTTTCACATCTTCCGAGATGCTGTCACTGGAGATCTGCCATGGCCAGGGCTCACGATTGGTTTGAGCATCCTTACTCTGTGGTACTGGTGCACAGATCAGGTAATGTGGAAGCCATGTGCCTTGGAAATGCAGAACACGAAACTCTGCAGACTTCTAGTATGATCTAAGAGTAATGTTTGCTTCTTCTTTCCCCACAGTTTGGTATTCAAAGCTATGTCACAGGAATGGCAGTTATTTTAGGTCTTGTCAGAGTATTTCCAGCTTCTGGTTTCTAAACTCCTTTAATAAATGGCTCCATTTTGGGGCTGTTGGACCATATGTGTGCAAGAAAATGGAAATGGTGTTCTTTCGGTTCTTCTTATAAACTGCTCAGAAGATACAGTGTTTAATTCCTTTCTCGTGTTTTTTTAATTTATAATTCTGCGTAAGAACAAGGAGAGAGTTTGTAATGTGGACATTTACTTAAGAAACCTCATATCAAATGGTCTTAGTTGGACTGGGATGGTTCCCCATTCAGCGACCTTGGTTTGTTTCCTGTTTGTGTGGCTTCCACCTTTGCATGCACAGTTTTGGGTGGATTTTCTTTATACGTTTGGTCTTTCAGTCTGGAGACTCTCACCGTTTCCTTCTTCCTTCCCCTAAGAGCTATCATCCAGCTTCCCAGAGAGATCACACTGGCATGAAAGTAGAAAAGTGTGCTCCTGCAAAAGTGACATACGCACATGCTCAATCTGAAGAAAGTGATCTCTCTGCTTTCTGAATTGTGAGAAGGACAATTTTTCACAATTTATAAAGCAAGTTAAAAAAGCAATGTAAATATCTATTTTCTTCTTTTTTGTCTCTTGATTTGCTTTATAAATAACTTTTGAGAACAAAAGAGTATTGGCTCTTGAACACGTGCTGAATAAACGTTATTTTCCTTGACTTATTTTAAATGTATTTTCAAGTAGTGTTTATGTTTTCCTGGTGATGGAAATCATAAATGGGCTCTTTCACCATCACACAGGTTAAGGAGCACTTTGTTTCTGGAATGTGGCTTGGTGTGTTCGTGGTACTGATTGAGTCATGCGTGCCTGTTGTGTCTCATTGACAGGTTATTGTCCAAAGATGTCTCTCTGGCAAGAACATGTCCCATGTGAAGGCTGGATGTGTGATGTGTGGGTACCTGAAGCTCTTGCCCATGTTTATCATAGTGATGCCTGGAATGATCAGCCGAATTTTGTATGCAGGTATGCACATATATTTACAGGGATGCAGATGTCCTCCTGCTGCCGATCTTTCATTGGCAATTTCTCTCAATTTCCTTTTCTCTGTCCTAAATACCTGTCAGATTGTTGTCTTGTCATACAGTTGTTCAGGCACATATGTGCACAAATACGGACTGCACTGAGCGAATCCACAAACCCACAGGCAGAGAAGAGGTGTTTAGGTTGAGTGAAAACTGTGTTCCTCTGTTTTTTATTTGACTTGCTTTTCTCGTGTTACTGAGTTCTGGTCTGACAAATTAATTCTGGTGTTTTTGATCTGCAGCAATTTTTAGTATTTTTTTTTAGAGAGGAAAAGGAAAATGGAGGCTTAGAATCACCTTCCATCCTGCTAGCAGACCAAGGATGATATAGAATGTGTCAGTCCAGTGGTTCAGTGCATATTTGTTAATATGACCTTGTCTAACCGTGTCTCATTATCCTCTTCTCAGATGTGGTGGCTTGTGCTGTGCCTGAAGTCTGCCAGCAGGCCTGTGGCACCTCAGTGGGCTGTACAAATATTGCTTATCCAAAAATGGTAGTAGAACTTATGCCAAATGGTAAGACACTATTTTTGTTTGTTGTTTTAGGAAAGGCGAGGCTGCCAGACTGTAAAAATGAGTGAAGGAGAGCCCAAGTCTCACATTTAGCTAAAAAAAAAGTGTTGCTAAAATAGTTACTGTTAGTCTAAGGGGTGAGAAATCCTAATTGATTGTGGCTGTGGGTGCAAAATAGTTGCATGCCAACAATGTCAGCTCTCAGCAGATACTGAGCAATGACATTCTAATTGTTCCCCTTCCCTGCAAAGGTCAAAAGTAACCTACTTTGCCTGTTTTATAAAGGACTGGGGAATTCTGAGTTGCAGGCATACACCTGCAGTCCTTATGCCAGCCCCACTGAGGTGGGAGAAAACATTGTCCTGTAATGCCTGTTCAGTGAGAGAATGAGGCACCAATCTGTAGAAGACTAAGTATAGGGAAAAGAAACAAAAACTGCAGAAAACCGGAGCTGATTCAGAAGGCTAGAAAAAACAGATTATGGTATTATGCAAACCATGGTACTTCCTTGATCTCTTTATAATTCCCCATTGTTTCATAGATGTTGAAGATAGTCTTATTAAAGTACTATCATACTTCCCCATACTATGTTGATTAGATCATGCTGCTTGGAAAAGTGGTTTTTCCCTGATGTTTAATCAGTAAAAGAAACTTTTATCTGATTTACAAATATATCACAGGCAACTGAGCACTGCACTGAATTCAAGAGAAATGATTTTATAATTGTGGGTGAAGTCTGCTTATTAGTTTTTGTTTCAGCATCTAATCTGAAAGCGTTCACAAAGGAAGTACCTACACTCTAAAAGCTCAAGCATTGTCCCCTCACTGCTGTAAATAGCTTTTCCAAAGCTCAGCAGCATCACTCTGCTTGCATTGCAAGAGAGTGGCAGGCAGACATCAGCACATAAACGTGCCAGACGTACACGTAGCTGGCTGACTTGATGGGATCAGACAGTCTCTATGGATGGTGCTGTGTATCGACACGCTTCACTGAATGCCCATCCCACCTAATGTATGGGGTGTCTTTGTTTTCCAGGTCTACGAGGTCTGATGTTATCAGTCATGTTGGCATCCCTTATGAGCTCCTTGACTTCCATTTTTAACAGTGCCAGTACGCTGTTCACTATGGACATTTACACCAAAATTAGAAAACAACCGTCAGAGAAAGAGCTTATGTTGGCTGGAAGGTAAGGCAGAAATGCAGCACGCCTGAGAAGCCTCCAAAAGAGTGCCTGAGTGAAAATCTGTATTTGCAGTGTTCAGGCAGCGCAGCAGTGGCCTCCTGTGGCCAGGCAGGCTGTCCCATGTGTGCTTTCCCTTCTGGATGTTTTATGATAATAATTTCCAGACCTTACGTCCAATGGAATAGACAGTGGCTAAAATAATGCTCAACACTTACTTCCTACTGCTGTTCAAAGGGAACTATTTACAGATACCTTTGTAGGCTTTATGCTACACCATGCTCAGCATCAATCAACTAGTTCTACCTTATTTGCTTTTGGTTCATCTCTAGTCGTAACAAAGGAAAAAAGTAATTTTCTGTGTTTTAATTGCATGTTTAGCTGTATGATGACGGGTGTTTGACAGACATGATGCACAACTTGAATTACTTCTGTTTGTTCAATGGTAATTGGCCATTTCATTGATTTCGCTGGTTGAAATACAAAATAGACATTTAAATTATTGATCAATTGCTGTTTCTGATAGATGCTTCCTAGCAGGTGGCTGATAGAATATCTGGCTATGTTTGCAGGGCATTTATGGTGGTTTTAATTGGCATCAGCATCGCCTGGGTTCCTGTGGTGCAGTCAGCTCAAAGTGGGCAGCTCTTTGATTACATTCAGTCAGTTACCAGCTACCTGGGACCTCCCATTGCTGCTGTCTTCCTGCTTGCCATCTTCTGCAAGCGAGTAAATGAACAGGCAAGTGCAAATCAGGAAATAATGAAGCTGCATGTTGCTTTAGTTATCTTTTTTTTTTTTTTTAACCAAACATATCACTTTTCACCTTTGTTTTGGATGCTCTATTCATTTGTCAGCAAACTTTTCAACAAATGCACTGTTGTTTCCTCCATTATTTCCCATTGCTTTTTGGATCCATTCTAAGAATTGCTGTTTTTTTATTTTTAGAACAGTGAATTGAGAAATATTTAAGTAAGTAACTCGAAGGGATGAGGTCTGGATTATGCTTTTGGGACCATGAGCCAGCTACATTAACTGCTATCTCTCTCAGACATTCTGAAGACTCAATATTCAGGACTTCAGTTTCTTTCCTATAGTGCTAGGAATAATATTTGCTAATGGTTCAGGTTTGCTCCAAGAAGAAATGGTTTCATGAGAAAGCCTACAGAGAAAAAGGCATCTTCCTGTTTTTTAATTTGGCTGAAACTTTTTGTAACTGCTTTCCCTCAAGACCGTTTCAGTGGTTCTCTGTGTGTCTGTCCAAAAGATCCTGCTTTATGCACAAAGGGATGTTCCATGTGCTATCCCAGTATAGACAGATCTCACAGATGAGCTGAATCTGTGTGCCCTTTGTGGAAATCTGCAGTTGATCTGTGATTGCAGCTGGAATTTTGCCAGAGTTAGAATTTAATATAATCCTCATGTGTTTGTGTACGTAGCATTCTTCAAAGCTGGATGAGTAGTACAGATAAGTATCAAAGCTTAAAATACATAAAATGAACTCCAATATTGTAATTGTTTATATGATTTATCAGTATTTCTTGTTCAGAAACATTTTAGCTAGAAATTGAATTAACTATCTTATTATTATTATTGTTGTTGTTGTTATTATTATTATTATTATATAATCTTATTATTAACTATCTATATACCATGAAAACTAGAATATGTTTCCATTGGGATTTCCAGTTTTCTGTTACAGTCGTTAGTTATTTGACTTCATGAACTCATGGAATGGCTGAAATTGCCAAAGTCAACATAATGTGTCAAACCTGCATGTTTCCCCCAGCAGCTCTTCAGGAGTTACAGCGTGCCCTTTTTGCTAACTTCTGTCCCTTTCTGCAGGGTGCCTTCTGGGGCCTGGTAGTTGGGCTGCTGGCCGGGCTTGGTAGAATGATACCAGAGTTTGTCTACGGAACTGGTAGCTGTGTGGCCCCTTCCAACTGCCCGTTCATCATCTGTGGGATTCACTACCTGTATTTTGCAATTATTCTTTTTGGGGTTTCTGCCATCGTTATCCTGGCAGTCTCCTTCATGACTAAGCCAATTCCTGATGTACATGTAAGTATTACTGCACTTCTGCTCCTGGAGAAATGAAGTTTACCACTAGTTTTAAATACTGTTACTTGGCATATTGTCACATTTCATCTGTCTACATCTTACAGTCCTTGTAAGAAAGCAAAGGAGATAGTCTTCATTTATCTGTCACTGAGCTTCAGTGACTCCTAACGATCCAAGGCGCTGATTTAACAGACATTTGGGATGCTGTGGTCTCCGTGCACTCAGGATCTAGTTTTAAACTTCTTTTTTTAATGGCAGCTTTATCGCTTGTGCTGGACTTTGCGGAACAGCAAAGAGGAACGTATTGATCTCGATGCAGATAATGTGGAGGAGAAACCTGATGAGAAAGATAAGGAATCAGGTAACTGATGAATAATTTCTGTTGCAGTATCTGAGATGCCATCAGTATGTTTGAGAATCCCTATTCCATTCCTGAACAAACAGCATGCATAGTTTTCATAAAACAATACACCCCAGCAACAAAACCTCAGCCCAGATTTAAAGGGCTAGTAAGGTGCCCCTTAAATACACGAGTCCTAGTGCAGATCAGAACTGACAGGAGAAATACTTATTCTCTAGGTGGCTAGGTGCCAGTTCTAGGCTTATGTTAGCAGTGGTGTGCATTGGCAGAACTGCATGTAACTCTGGCACTTGCAATGAAACAAGGAGAATTCATTTTGAAATAGAGTGTAGTAGCAAGGACTGAAGGAGCAAGGCATGGTGCAGGACAAAAGGAAAGCTAATTGCCAGACATCCATCTGAGCAAAACCTCCTGCTTCCTTTGCTGGGCTTCTCATTCTGCTGCCAAGTTCCTTTTCATAAATATCCTATAATTCATCTATTTGTTTTTTGATTAAAAGTATAGAAAGTAGGGAAAAAATGAGTGAACAGGTTGAGCTTTGCAGAGTGACCTGCTTCTCACTTACACAATCAAGTCTCTATGCTTTAAAAGGCCTTCTTGCAGTATTTAGAAAATCACGCTTTTTTCCAGGTGAGCTGTGAAAACACAATATTAATTTCATTCTTGTACAGCCTTGTACTGTATTTAAAAGCTTCCATGCAAGTAAGACCATAAGTCAGAGCTACTATATTAAATATAGGATGGAGCTCAGCCACGGAGAACTTGTAGTGTATGCAGCAGTCCATGCTTACATTTCATGACCAGTATGCTATTCCTTCCAGTTTCAGAGGAGAGTGAAGACCCAGGATGCCTAAAGAAAGCTTACGACTGGTTCTGTGGCTTAGAGCAACAAAAAGGACCCAAACTGAGCAAGGAGGAAGAGGAAGCAGTGAAGAAGAAACTGACTGACACATCAGAAGTGCCACTTTGGAGGAATGTTGTGAATATCAATGGCATCATCCTACTGACTGTAGCTGTATTTTGCCATGCCTATTTTGCATAAGCTTCTGATTGCAGTTCTGAAATCGTACTGTATTGTCAAGAAGAAACAATGAGTTGTAAACTTACACAGATTCATTTAGTATTTTCATGCTCTAAGTTTGCAAAAATCAGGGTAATTTACTCACTGATTCTGTGATCACAATTTCAACAATCTCAAGATCAAGAATGCTAGGAGTTCAAGAAAGGGAATTTCCATTTGGAAATTGAATCAGTCCAGGATTAATAGAGGTTCAGAATTTTCATCCTATATTCTCTCTTCTCACGATACATTTCATATTTTAGGTGCAGAACAAGACTGCACGAACCACTGGCTCATTTCATGAGCCATTTATCAGGGTTTGTGAATTATCTCTTGGGGCCAATGACACTATTTTAATTTTTCAACTCTTTCTCTTCTGATCATTCAGGTTGGTTTTTTTTTTCCTTTGCTTATGATAATTTGATTACCAAAAAAAAGAACCATCAAACAACTGAGGGGCCATATTGTGGGCCAAACTAAAAAATCACTTTTGTTCTCTCCAAGCACAGCAGTGAAGGGCTTTTGTATATATCAGTGCATTTGATACTGCATCTAACTTTCCATTGTCACTTTTTTCCACTTCATTTTTATGATATTTTTCATCATCTTGTGTTTCTCAGTAACGAGTGGAACATGAACCACCTGAACTGACCGCCTTTTGAAACTGGTCAAAACAGGATTCAATTATCCTATCAGGAATTCTGCTTATGATAGATTCTCTGCTTAAGGTTCAAAAGGTCCCCCTCTTGTATATTTTAATGTGTATCTATACTTGAATGTGAAACTTTTTTTATACAAAACACATGTATTATATATGCATACAATACATTATATATATGCACATATGTGTTATATATCAGAATATATGTATGTGTGTATATATATTTATTTATTTATTACTGATTGATTCCCATCTTGGTATGTCAAAGTTAATCTCTACCCACAGCTGTTAGGACCTCTTTATCCTGGAGATGGTGTTAATGTTTTGCTTCTTTCTATGAGCTGAACTACAAAACAATCCATGAACGTTGTTGAAAGTCCAAAGCATGAGTGCTGGTTTTGCATTTTTCTTTTCAGAACGTTTGAGGGTTTTGTGCCACTTCTCTGAAAGACTGTAAATATTTCTTCTGAAGACTGCATTGAGAAATACAATTCATGCTGTATGAAATTTCAGTATGACAGTGTGAGTTCATGAAGGAGAGCAGCCACAGCTGTGGGATGCCAGCTAAGTCAGTCTGATTGGCTCCACTTGCTAAGTGTGAGATCTGCTGGAGATGCAGGAGAAGATAAGTGTAACACTTCAAGTCAAAAAGCAATAAATCTCGTAATGTATGGGTGATTCAGCCTCTTGGGGAATCAAATGTAGAAAGAAGACATCAGCTGCTGTGGTCAAGCCGCTGCACAACTCCTTGTTACTGTTGCACAGTATCATGGCATGCTGTGTTGTCTCTTCCCACAGCACTGCAGCAGAACTGTCCTGAGGTAGGTGCATCTCAATAAAGGTGGTGTCACCTCTGTACGCCCCACCACGTCGCTGCCAGCTCCTCCAGCTTTAGTCCTCACTTTATCATCTGACAGTATCATCTCTTCATTTACATCTCAAGCAAAGTGCTCTGCTGGTCCTCCTTACAAAGCCTGCAGTATACTGAAAAGGTTTGCACGAGCCAGATTAAATCAGTACTATATAAATATCAGTGCAAGCTTTTTATTGCAGTTAGTAAGTGAGAGAGTATTTTAAAGACCATGGAATGAATTATATTTAATGAACTTTGAAGTCATTTATGTATTAAAGTATTTGCATGTTTTGAAGCATTTGCTTTTCCACAAAACGATGAGACTTCTAAAGAATGTAATGGAAATCAGAGAAACTTAATTTGGTGTCTAGATTTTGGTTCTGCTTAATAGTAATGGATAACAAACAAGTAAGAAAGCCTACAGAAAAGGACTGCCCAGATTCCTTGTTGTCATATTTGTTACAGAAGGAAAATACAGTGAAATTACACAACCACTTGGATGAAGGCAAATAACACAAGTGATTTCCTGGTAGCCCGATCAGCCTTTAGATGACCTCTTCATTAATCAGTCACTGTCACTTCATCTTCTTTCCCAGGGTTAAAGGATTTTGAAAAATTAGCTCTTTGACAGAGCCATTCATTGTACGTCCCCAACAAGCTGCTTTTGTTCAGGTCTGAGAACTGCCTGCTGTAGGGACCAAGGTTCAAACGTTTCCATGTAGTCTCATTCCTGTTTGGAGTGCTCTAATTCTGTAGAATTTCGCATAGCCACACAATTTTACCATGGGTAGCTCTAGATTAATAGATTAATAATTAATAGATTAACAAATGTCACCTAGATTTGGTAGGTGTTGCATTCAAGGGCAACATCATGGCGTTAAGGAAGCAAGCAAATTTTCTTCATTTTTCAGTAGAACAGTTGTTGCTGTGGGGCACACGGAGAAAAAGAGAAAATCCCAAAGATGCTTACGCTGCCCTGGGCAGGGATGTGAATTCCATGGGCATTCTTGTTCCCGTGTTTGCTGGAAGTTTAGAAATCCTTCTGTCACATGTCTCTCCACTTGGTATCTCTGGCTGATAGCAGTGTACATGCATCATGTGCAGCATAACACAGCTCTGCTTTAGGTGATCCTGAAACATTCTAGCTTATCCTGGCAGGTGAGATATAGGGTTGCAACTTACTTCAGTGGGTTATAGTCAGATATACAGAATTATTTTAAATGGACTGTACAAAAGATAAACTACAATTAAAAATTCACCTAGTCACACTGTAGGCCAATTGCAACGTTGATATGTAAAGAACACAGACAAAGCACGTGTTCTTTGGTATTTTCACTTGGTGTTCTTCAGGTATTTTATTTGAGAGTTAGATTATTTACAGGCCCAATCCTGAGAAGGGTAACCACTCATCATTTACATTTTCATTTTTCTGTATCACTCAACAAATGTATCAAAGTTCCTCACAAATGTTAACTACTTTGGTTATAACACCCTTCTTAGAACTCAGAATTTGTTTTTTTCCAGCTTTGTCATGGCAAAAGCTCACACTTTGGTGTGCAACAGTTACAGAAGGAGTGTAGGTCTGTGGCTTGGAATACAGGTGCAGTAATCACAGCTTGTTTTAACCAGTGTGTCTGTGGTGCATTAGGGCACAGAGCACAAGGCTGAGTTCTCTCAGCACAGCTGACTGTGCTGGACCCAGAAATGTCAGCAGTTGCCACCACTAACGAGCTTTGCTCCTGCACAGGTCACTATTTCCACTGCCAAAATGAGGAAAAAATTATATGAAGTAAAACTAAACAACGAAGGGCAGAGATGAGGTGTGTGTCACTGGTGGTGGCTGCCATTCAGAGTGCAGAGCTGTGTTCGCTCTGAAGTCATTTGTTTCGAGGGCTGGATTGGAGGGCATTGAGCCCGCTGCTCACTGGCAGTCACACTGCATGGAGCAGGGTCATAGATAAGCTATACTGAGGCAGGGCTCCTTCAAATAAAATTAATGTTCTTTCTCTGTTCTGGATGTGCAGTGTTACTGGGAGGCAGTGAGATGTGAGGGAATGGCACAGGATGAGCTCCCGGTGCTCAGCCCAGCAGGCGGTGTCACACGTGGAACAGCAGAGGGCAATACGTGGCTAAGAAAGATGAGCAATTCCAAACCAAGCCATTTTCTTGGTGATTCATGGCATCTTTCATGCAGCATGTTTTTTAGGGCTGTTCTAGAATGTAAAGAATGGAGCACAACTTGACTCACTCCAATATCTCGCCGATGAAATACCACGTAACCAGCACTAGTGCCTGAGGTTATTGCCCTTGCTATTAATAAAGCAGGTCAAATTATTTTTTCCTCCTGAGGAATACTCAATCTTCTTATTATCTATCACAGCAAGCTGCAGAAGAGTTCCCCTGGTGCTCTGGAGCCCAACCCCTGCTCACCTGGCAGTGCTCAGGGCTCCAGCAGCTGTGTGTGCTGCAGCCAGCAGCTCCCTGCTTGCCTTGGGGAACTTGGAAGAGCTCCAGCTCAGGTAGGCACCAGCTCACCCTTACTTTGTGTAGTGATTTTTGTTATAGTGTCAGAACTCATGACTTTAAAAACTTCCTTTCGAATGGCATTTAAATCAGACAGCTGCAATAGTTGTCATTCATTCAAGTCAACAAATTTTGTCAGAACAGCCTTCCTAAAAGTAGGCTCTGGGCTCAAATCTTTCAGTATATAGTTTTGCATGTAGCCACAGAAAATAAATCCTCTCCTTCTGGTTTAATGTCAGCCAAACCTGACTGACCTGAAGTCTGTACTTGGTCTACAGACAGAAATCTCACTTAGCATTTTTAATTTGAATTTGATTCCCTTTTTTGTTTGCTTGTTTTTAAATAGAAAGTACAGCGGTGGGAAGCAAAAGAACTCCCTGCTTTGGAACTTGGATAGATTCAAAGCTGCTATTTCCCAAGGCAGGATATATATGAGAGCAGAAATGGTCTCCACCTCCTGGACTTTCAAAACCAAATGGACAGGTCAATGAGTCTGCAGTTGCAAGAACAAAGAGACGTAATATTCTTTACCTCCTGGAAACTGCTAGGAAAAAAATAATATTAAGCTTTGCATTCAAAATGAGCTGTACCTGTGTGGGATGCTGTGCACAAGGCTTGTGAAAAGGATCTCACTTCCCAGGGTTGTGTCTGTTCTTCTGCTGATGTCACTGGGAGATGTCAGGCAGCCGACTTGAAAGCTTGATCTGTGCAGGGCACAAGTGAATTAATTCCAGTATCGACCTAGAACATTAATTATATCTGGGCCTTAATCATTGTTGGCTTCAAGCCAGAAAGGCTAATCATTTTCCATTGATGCTCAAATCAGCTGAGGTGCTGATGTTGTCATAGCAGACTTTCTGTGGAGCAGTAAGTGCTGAAGACTTGTTATATGCTCAGTGTTCTTTTGAAGCAATGAGTTTAATTATAGTGTGTGGCAGTGCCAGATCCTAACATGTTAATTGAAGTGTTTGTAACACGTATGAAGAAATACAAAAGGATAGTAGCGTTTGGGTGACCGAGTCTGTTGCAACTTTATTATTGAGTATAACTGACTGAAAGTTGGGTCAGCCCAGAGGGAAGTGTTTGTCAGTCATTTTGCTGTGTTTCTTTGATCCAACCATTTTACTGATGTCTGGAGTGCCAATTAATTGTGAAGCTGTGCAGATTAAGATCTGTTGGCTCATCTCAAAGTGAGCAGTTAGCTATAGTAGCCCTGGCACTCCTCATATGTAAGGGACACAACAAACACGTCTAGGACTAAGTCTGTGATGTGGAATCATGGAATATAGGTTGGAATGTTCCTAGAAATCTCTCTGCTCTCTAGGTTGTCCATTTAGGACCACGTAACATCGGTGTTGTTGTCTTGCTGGGGAAATTCATGGGGAATATGACCAAAACTGTTCCTACCACTGGACTTGCTATTATAGGTGACCTTTTCATTTCACCAGAATGTCACTCGTCAAAGAGTTTTCATACGCATTTTTCTTTTTGTGCTCTGCCTTAAGGACAAGGTGATACTCAGCAATTAAGCAATAACTGACAGAAGTAAAAGTATTGCTAAGATCAAAGGATACCTTGGGTTAACATACGCATCAGTGTTTGTGTAGGTTCGATGCATCCTGTTCTCTGTTAGATTCAAGATGTAATGTTACCTCAGAGGAGAAAGTAAATCCTTTATCATAAGGACTTTTTTTTATTTTAGGTAAGAAAAAAATCATAAAGTGATTATATGCTAAATTACAGAATGAAAGTTTTAACAATGAAAACTAAAAATACTGAGAGCTTGAAACCTAAAAAATCCAGCTATGTTCTGTGTATTTTCTACTCAATTCTTGCTTACCTGATAACTTCTGTACATGCCATTAGGCTTTTGTTGTCTTGTTTTTCTCTTTCAAACACATTCTGTGCACATCTGAATATTTCTGCTTTTTTGCCACTCCTCTTTTTTTTTTTTTAATCTTTTTCAATGAGTTATTCCTGGCTGCTTTCTTTCCTTACTACTGCCTCAGAGCTGTAAGCTTGTATTCTGCCTTCCAGTCACTGCCAAAGCAGGGAGATTCAGGAAGAGGCTGGCACTCTCACTCCAGAGCTCAGTAAGGCTTTGCTCCGCTCTTGTACTGTGCATTTATGTAAGACAAGACACAGACACCATGGCAGAGTCTGATTTGGACACAGCTCATACTGTTCTTTAAAGCAACTATCAGGAAGAAGCTCAGATGTGGTACTAAAGGTCCAAGTCAGCTGAATTTCTTCTTGTCACAGCAGTTCAGTGTGGATGGTCTTATTCCTTCATCTGAGCAAGATAATTGTTTTGCTAACTTGCTGAAATGCGATACCTGAATTACAGGGGGGAAGGCTGTGACAGATGCTTGAGCTAAAATGATTGTTACTGCATTTTCCTGCAGCAGTTTGGTAAATGTAGGTGAAACTACTGTTCTCTCTTGTTCCCCAGTCCTTTGCTGATCGGTTTCCCTGTTATTAAGCTGCCTGTCTCTCTCTTATTGAACTGGGTGCACTCAGGCATCTATATCTATTACATGTGAGTGCCTTATGTACATAAAGCGTGCTGAAAAGGCAGAGCCCCTGCAAGACCCTGCCCAGAGGGAATGAATCCATCTGATTCAATGCTTTTAAATCACATCTTTGTAGGAGAGGAAATGCTCCCTCTGGTGAGGTTATGGAAGAGAAATCTTTTAACTTTAATCACACCTACAGTGGCTGGTATAAGACTGTGCTTTACAGTGGGAGGAACACTGGGCTCCTGCAGTGGAA